ACAACATTCATATGTAGACTAGTCCCATGCACCTGCTGTGTAGTGTCATACAACATTCATAGGTAGGCTAGTCCCATGCACCTGCTGTGTAGTGTCATACAACATTCATATGTAGGCTAGTCCCATGCACCTGCTATGTAGTGTCATACAACATTCATATGTAGACTAGTCCCATGCACCTGCTATGTAGTGTCATACAACATTCATATGTAGGCTAGTCCCATGCACCTGCTATGTAGTGTCAGACAACATTCATATGTAGGCTAGTCCCATGCACCTGCTATGTAGTGTCATACAACATTCATAGGTAGGTCTAGTCCCATGCACCTGCTATGTAGTGTCATACAACATTCATATGTAGGCTAGTCCCATGCACCTGCTATGTAGTGTCAGACAACATTCATATGTAGACTAGTCCCATGCACCTGCTGTGTAGTGTCATACAACATTCATATGTAGACTAGTCCCATGCACCTGCTATGTAGTGTCAGACAACATTCATAGGTAGGTCTAGTCCCATGCACCTGCTATGTAGTGTCAGACAACATTCATATGTAGGCTAGTCCCATGCACCTGCTATGTAGTGTCAGACAACATTCATAGGTAGGTCTAGTCCCATGCACCTGCTGTGTAGTGTCATACAACATTCATATGTAGACTAGTCCCATGCACCTGCTATGTAGTGTCATACAACATTCATATGTAGGCTAGTCCCATGCACCTGCTATGTAGTGTCATACAACATTCATATGTAGACTAGTCCCATGCACCTGCTATGTAGTGTCATACAACATTCATATGTAGACTAGTCCCATGCACCTGCTATGTAGTGTCAGACAACATTCATAGGTAGGTCTAGTCCCGTGCACCTGCTGTGTCATACAACATTCATAGGTAGGTCTAGTCCCGTGCACCTGCTGTGTAGTGTCAGACAACATTCATAGGTAGGCTAGTCCCATGCACCTGCTGTGTAGTGTCATACAACATTCATATGTAGACTAGTCCCATGCACCTGCTATGTAGTGTCATACAACATTCATATGTAGACTAGTCCCGTGCACCTGCTGTGTAGTGTCCGACAACATTAATATATAGGTAGGCTAGTCCCATGCACCTGCTGTGTAGTGTCATACAACATTCATAGGTAGACTAGTCCCATGCACCTGCTGTGTAGTGTCATACAACATTCATATGTAGACTAGTCCCATGCACCTGCTGTGTAGTGTCATACAACATTCATATGTAGACTAGTCCCATGCACCTGCTGTGTAGTGTCATACAACATTCATAGGTAGGCTAGTCCCATGCACCTGCTATGTAGTGTCATACAACATTCATATGTAGACTAGTCCCATGCACCTGCTGTGTAGTGTCATACAACATTCATAGGTAGGCTAGTCCCATGCACCTGCTGTGTAGTGTCATACAACATTCATAGGTAGGTCTAGTCCCATGCACCTGCTGTGTAGTGTCATACAACATTCATAGGTAGGTCTAGTCCCGTGCACCTGCTATGTAGTGTCATACAACATTCATAGGTAGGCTAGTCCCATGCACCTGCTATGTAGTGTCATACAACATTCATAGGTAGGTCTAGTCCCATGCACCTGCTGTGTAGTGTCATACAACATTCATAGGTAGGCTAGTCCCATGCACCTGCTATGTAGTGTCATACAACATTCATAGGTAGGTCTAGTCCCATGCACCTGCTATGTAGTGTCAGACAACATTCATAGGTAGGCTAGTCCCATGCACCTGCTATGTAGTGTCAGACAACATTCATAGGTAGGCTAGTCCCATGCACCTGCTGTGTAGTGTCATACAACATTCATAGGTAGACTAGTCCCATGCACCTGCTGTGTAGTGTCATACAACATTCATAGGTAGGCTAGTCCCATGCACCTGCTATGTAGTGTCATACAACATTCATAGGTAGACTAGTCCCATGCACCTGCTATGTAGTGTCATACAACATTCATAGGTAGGCTAGTCCCATGCACCTGCTATGTAGTGTCATACAACATTCATAGGTAGACTAGTCCCATGCACCTGCTATGTAGTGTCATACAACATTCATAGGTAGGCTAGTCCCATGCACCTGCTATGTAGTGTCATACAACATTCATAGGTAGACTAGTCCCATGCACCTGCTATGTAGTGTCATACAACATTCATAGGTAGACTAGTCCCATGCACCTGCTATGTAGTGTCATACAACATTCATAGGTAGACTAGTCCCATGCACCTGCTATGTAGTGTCATACAACATTCATAGGTAGACTAGTCCCATGCACCTGCTATGTAGTGTCATACAACATTCATAGGTAGGCTAGTCCCATGCACCTGCTATGTAGTGTCATACAACATTCATAGGTAGACTAGTCCCATGCACCTGCTATGTAGTGTCATACAACATTCATAGGTAGGCTAGTCCCATGCACCTGCTATGTAGTGTCATACAACATTCATAGGTAGACTAGTCCCATGCACCTGCTATGTAGTGTCATACAACATTCATAGGTAGGCTAGTCCCATGCACCTGCTATGTAGTGTCATACAACATTCATAGGTAGACTAGTCCCATGCACCTGCTATGTAGTGTCATACAACATTCATAGGTAGGCTAGTCCCATGCACCTGCTATGTAGTGTCATACAACATTCATAGGTAGACTAGTCCCATGCACCTGCTATGTAGTGTCATACAACATTCATAGGTAGGCTAGTCCCATGCACCTGCTATGTAGTGTCATACAACATTCATAGGTAGACTAGTCCCATGCACCTGCTATGTAGTGTCATACAACATTCATAGGTAGGCTAGTCCCATGCACCTGCTATGTAGTGTCATACAACATTCATAGGTAGACTAGTCCCATGCACCTGCTATGTAGTGTCATACAACATTCATAGGTAGACTAGTCCCATGCACCTGCTGTGTAGTGTCATACAACATTCATAGGTAGGCTAGTCCCATGCACCTGCTATGTAGTGTCATACAACATTCATAGGTAGACTAGTCCCATGCACCTGCTATGTAGTGTCATACAACATTCATAGGTAGACTAGTCCCATGCACCTGCTATGTAGTGTCATACAACATTCATAGGTAGACTAGTCCCATGCACCTGCTGTGTAGTGTCAGACAACATTCATAGGTAGGCTAGTCCCATGCACCTGCTATGTAGTGTCATACAACATTCATAGGTAGACTAGTCCCATGCACCTGCTATGTAGTGTCATACAACATTCATAGGTAGGCTAGTCCCATGCACCTGCTGTGTAGTGTCATACAACATTCATAGGTAGACTAGTCCCATGCACCTGCTATGTAGTGTCATACAACATTCATAGGTAGACTAGTCCCATGCACCTGCTGTGTAGTGTCATACAACATTCATAGGTAGGCTAGTCCCATGCACCTGCTATGTAGTGTCATACAACATTCATAGGTAGGCTAGTCCCATGCACCTGCTATGTAGTGTCATACAACATTCATAGGTAGACTAGTCCCATGCACCTGCTGTGTAGTGTCATACAACATTCATAGGTAGGCTAGTCCCATGCACCTGCTGTGTAGTGTCATACAACATTCATATGTAGACTAGTCCCATGCACCTGCTATGTAGTGTCATACAACATTCATATGTAGACTAGTCCCATGCACCTGCTGTGTAGTGTCGGACAACATTAATATATAGGTAGGCTAGTCCCATGCACCTGCTGTGTAGTGTCATACAACATTCATAGGTAGGCTAGTCCCATGCACCTGCTGTGTAGTGTCATACAAAATTCATAGGTAGGCTAGTCCCATGCACCTGCTTTGTAGTGTCATAAAACATTCATAGGTAGGCTAGTCCCATGAACCTGCTGTGTAGTGTCATACAACATTCATAGGTAGGTCTAGTCCCAATTCCTCTCTTCTCCAAGGTCCAGGACAGGGAACTCTGTGAGCTGGTTGGTGATTGTTTTTGGGCAAGGTTGCAATCTCTACCAGTCCTCTGGTTGCAATCTCTGCCAGTCCTCTGGTTGCAATCTCTGCCAGTCCTCTGGGTGCAATCTCTGTCAGTCCTCTGGTCGCAATCTCTACCAGTCTTCTGGTCGCAATCTCTACCAGTCCTCTGGTTGCAATCTCTGCCAGGCCTCTGGGTTCAATCTCTGCCAGTCCTCTGGTCACAATCTCTACCAGTCCTCTGGTTGCAATCTCTGCCAGTCCGCTGGTCGCAATCTCTATCAGTCCTCTGGTTGCAATCTCTGCCAGTCCTCTGGTTGCAATCTCTGCCAGTCCTCTGGTTGCAATCTCTATCAGTCCTCTGGTCGCAATCTCTACCAGTCTTCTGGTTGCAATCTCTACCAGTCCTCTGGTTGCAATCTCTACCAGTCCTGTGGTTGCAATCTCTGCCAGTCCTCTGGTTGCAATCTCTGCCAGTCCTCTGGTTGCAATCTCTGCCAGTTTTCTGGTTTCAATCTCTACCAGTCCTCTGGTCGCAATCTCTACCAGTCCATTGGATGTCTAACCTATTAAAATAATAGCGTTTTGTTCAGTGGTGTATTGGCATTCAGTGATCCGCGCTCTGTTTTATCATTAAAGTTCTTTGTTGTGTGACTATGAGATTTAAGTTTAAAAGTTTTGATTTTTAATTTACCATGCCATGTATTACCCTGAACAGGGAAATGCATTCATAGAGGAAGAGGCCGAAGTTTCAGGAGAAGACAACTCATCTGATGAGCATGAAGAGTTTGATGATTACTTTGATCCCAGTTTCATAGACAACAACACAGAAGTACAGCACATGAATGACACAGGTATGCTGTACCACATGAAAATATTTTCTGTCACCACTCTGCCAAATGATTATGCTCATGTGATGTAGTCTGTCGTTATCCTCTTGTGATGCATTTGTTAAGCATCGTTCGGAAGTCATTGATATAATGACAATAAATGTCATATATTTTACTGTCAGAGATGAGGGCTGTTTACCTGAAGTCAGTCAAGAGTCCACTCTTACACGCCATGCCTGGTCGTTTTAAGTTACAGTACAACAGGCAGAGCCACAGGGATGTGGACATCTACAGCCAGACCCAGCCTGAGGACCTAGGCATGTCTGAGTATGAGGAGGACAGTTTCTGTGTTGGAAGTGATGAAAGAGGTTTGCTAGTGTTAGTTAATCCGTATGATCATAGGGTAGCTGGTTTTCTTTATGATCTCATTGCCTATGTTAATTTATTCCCACATAAGGTTAATTTTTTAGTAATCGTTATAGGTTATGAAATTTAAGAAAAATTAAATTAAATTTTTGTATCTTTTCTGTGGAGTTTAAGAGATTAGCTTCATTTTGTTACTTAAAGTGTATGTAAATATTTCAAATTTTTTTTTCATTCAGAGACTAGTCACACAGAAGAAGAGTGTTCAGAGAGATTCACTAAAATATCTAAGCAGCCGAAGAAAGGGAAAAAGTTGGCTGGCAAGCGAAGAATCCAGTTGATGTGTGACTCATCAAGTGATGAGGAGGCTGCCCATCCATTCCCGATGACCCAGGATTTCTCAGTAACTGACTTGAAGAGGGTCAAAAAGGCACTGCTCAGCAGCAGTGAAGATGAAGAGGCAAAAACTCTGTCTAAGCTGTCTCCAAACAACAAATTGAGCGACATTGAAAGTTGTGATAATGGTGCCGCAAGAAGCAATCCTCCTTTAGACAGTAGCTGTGAGAAGGTGAAGCCTATGATGGGTGCTGAGCTCGATGACATGGCTCAAACTGTGAACTTTAATTTACTAGAAGACGATGATTGGTATGACGACACAGACTTCCTACATGTTGATGAGGTCAAAGGAAAATCCACAGAAAGTTCCACTGTTGGCAGCGGTAGTTTTCTGTTGGCTGGCAGCAGCAGGAATAAAGCCACCGCTGTCATAGCGCCCATTGGATTCACCCCTGAAATGAAGCAGACGTCAATAGCTGGCCCTCCAAATTTAAAGTATGAAAGAAAAAATATCCATGACTTGAATGAAAGTGATGCAGATGGGGCAAGTCAATGCTCAGAACTATTTTTCAGAGGCAAAAGGGAAAATGTCAACATTCAGTCTCTCACCAAGAAGATGCCTGAAAGGGGAGATAAATATGGTAATGCTTTGTTAAAAAATGGCAGATCAAATTCATCAACAATGGATGCAAACACAATAGGTGGAAACACCTGCATTGTTAATACTTATCAAGCTGGTAAAGATTTCTCTGAGGCTTCATCAGGCAGCTTTAAAAAGTGTTTGAATGAATCATTACACAGCTCTTCAAGTGTCCACTGTGAGAAAATAACAAGCTTTAATAAGCCAAGCGTGTCAATGACCACGGAAGACTTTAAAAAGCCAAGAACGTCATTGATGACCAGGGAAGGCTTTAATAAGCCAAGCATGTCATTGATGACCAGGGAAGAAAGGCTGAGAAAACAAAAAGAAAAACAGGAGAAGTTTCAGCAGAGCTTGCACCACAAGCAGCTGTGCAACAGTCCGTCCACAAGCCAGGGAGGAGAACCTGAACAGCCACCATCTTTGGGCAGACTTTCAAGCAGTGTCAGTCTAACTGAAATGAGTGGCAGCTGCCACAGTCCTGTTTTGGATATGGAAACAAGAGCTCAGGCTTCACCAAATTTCACCAAGGTTGTAAGTTGTTTATTGGTTCCTGGCATTCTCATTATTCAAAGATTGATTTAAATGTGTTATGGTAAATGTCAGCTTCGTGCTGACTGCTTACGTCTATTGAAGCTATCCTAAGGAATCCATAAGTATGTGCACTGGCTAATGTCATGCAACAAAAAGCTTTTGACTTGTTAAGACGAGGCCACTTACATTAAGAGAAATTAGAGGCACAACTGAAAAAGTTGGTTCTTGTTTATTTAATTATTTTATGACATTTATTTATTTGTTTTTTACTAAAATTGTTCAAGTTACTCGAGATATTTTAAGTATATTATATTAATGACTTTACCCTGTTAATGTTCCATATTTCTATATTATTGACTTTACCCTGTTAATGTTTCATATTTCTATATTAATGACTTTACACTGTTAATGTTCCATATTTCTATATTATTGACTTTACCCTGTTAATGTTTCATATTTCTATATTAATGACTTTACACTGTTCATGTTCCATATTTCTATATTAATGACTTTACCCTGTTAATGTTCCATATTTCTATATTAATGACTTTACACTGTTAATGTTCCATATTTCTATATTAATGACTTTACCCTGTTAATGTTCCATATTTCTATATTAATGACTTTACCCTGTTAATGTTCCATATTTCTATATTAATGACTTTACCCTGTTAATGTTCCATATTTCTATATTATTGACTTTACCCTGTTAATGTTCCATATTTCTATATTAATGACTTTACACTGTTAATGTTCCATATTTTTATATTAATGACTTTACCCTGTTAATGTTCCATATTTCTATATTAATGACTTTACCCTGTTAATGTTCCATATTTCTATATTAATGACTTTACCCTGTTAATGTTTCATATTTCTATATTAATGACTTTACCCTGTTAATGTTCCATATTTCTATATTGACTTTACCCTGTTAATGTTCCATATTTCTATATTATTGACTTTACCCTGTTAATGTTCCATATTTCTATATTATTGACTTTACCCTGTTAATGTTCCATATTTCTATATTAATGACTTTACACTGTTAATGTTCTATATATTTCTACAGTTAGACGCAAAGAAGCTAGACGAGCTTCAAATTCTGGTTGATTCCAGGGAGATAAGTGGTGCACAGGTAAACTTGAGACGGGATTTATTGGAGCCATGTTATTGTCAAATTAATTCAATTCTCGATGACATTTTTATTATGTTGAAGGTACATTTCTTAACCCAGCACATCTCATAAAATGTCTTAAGTTGGAGAATTATCTTTTATTGGATCGGTCTTGATATTCCTCAGGATATCATCTCAGCCTTGAGAATAAAACATGGTATAAAGGTGACGGCAAGACAGATCTCCTCTTGTGACTACCTTCTCAGCAACCACCAGGCAGTAGACAGGATACTGTGGTCAGGTGCGGCAGACATCTAGAACAGGGGTCTGAAACTCACACCCCACCTTATTTATATTTACTTTAAAGTTTATGATTAACATAACTAATTTAAGTCCTTTTTTTTTTGCCATTCAGCTGGCAACAAGTTCTTGTATCTGGCTTTGTCTGGATGTAATTAGAACATATGTGGTCATCATCATCATGTCCCTTAGTCCTTGGACGGTTGGGGCGCCACAGATGACATATGAACTATCCTCCTCCATTCGTCTCTGTCTTCTCCACTACGCACAGCATCGCCCAGTGTTAGTCCTGTCCACTCTTTGATGTTATCCTCCCATCTTTTTCTTTGTCTTCCTCTTCTTCTCCCTCCTCTTGTGGTGCCCTGCAATATTTCTTTGGCAAGCCCTTGTTTCCTTGTTACGTGGCCGTACCATTGTAGTTTGGGTTTTTCTGTCACCAGTCGGTCATCGTACTCCCCAATTGCCTGGCATACCCTTTCTTTCACTGTATCATTGGAGATATGGTCCCTATAGCAGATGCCAAAAATGCTTCTGAATCATCTCATCTCCATCGCCTTTATTTTCCTTTCAAAATCTGCTGTTAATGTCCAGGATTCGCAGGCATACAGAAAAATGGAGAGGACTAATGAGCGCATCAGCCTGATTTTGGTGCTGGGGGCTATACTTTTGTCATTCCATATTTTCTTGAGCCTCTTTAGTGCTGTTGTAGTCTGCGCAATCCTGGAAATCAGTTCGGGCTTGGAGCCTTCTTCTGAGTCTATTGCTCCTAAGTATTTGAAGCGGCCTACAGTCTCTAGTCTTTCCTCCCCGACCTTAATTTCAGTGGTGATGCTTTTGGTGTTATTTGTCATCAGTTTTGTCTTTTCGGCACTGATTAGCATGCCGTAGGACGACAAGGTCTTGTCGAGACGCTTAAACAGGTTGGCTAGCTCTTCTTCGTTCCCAGCAAATCCGTCTATGTCGTCCGCAAAGCGTAGGTTGGTGATTGTTCAGCCATCATGCTGACTGTCCCTTCATGCGCTTCCAGAGCAACTGACATAATTCTCTCTAGGAATATGAAGTGAGAAAATACAAAGTACCTCTCAGTTAACCGACGCTTGTTCATTAAAGTCAATTTTAAACACAAGGGAAGGGAAAACATGAGAAAAGAATGCCACAAAACAACCAGTGTCTGCAAGAAGCCTTCTTCAGAGGAAAAATGAAGAGTCACACAAATATAGAAAATTGAAACTTAGCTTAAACGTTTTATCAAAGAGGAAAGCAGGAGGAATTTAGTAGACCATTAGTAGGTAAGAGAGTTAATATAGGCAAAGAGGGTTGGTAGAGAGGAAAAAAGGAGAGGGTGAACAAAAGATTTAACAACTGAGGGAAATTAAAGTGCTAGTTCGGAAAATATGATTTTTAAGGACAGCGTAAAACCGAATATACTAAAATTTAGGTAGGAATTACGAATGAATCTGGTAAATGTATCCTATGATCATTTGTCTTGATCAATTTTTTGTGTGCTAATAAAGCTGCACAAAGTTAATACAAATTTACTATTAAATTTAAACAAACAATTATTGAAAGCCGATTACAATAATGTGGAATAAATTGAACAATTTGGTAAAATATTTATTTTCAATGTCAATACTAAATATTTTTTTCATTAATCTTTAAGAACTTGTTACTTCCAGCATTTAGCAATAGTACAAATAAAAGCAAGATGGCGGCAAGACTTAGTGAAATGCAGGCTTTGTACGACCGCTGTATTTTGATAGTTGAAGCAGACAGGGTCAAAGCTGGTCAGGAGAAATCCAAGAAAACATGGTAGCAACAGTTTTATGTTCATTAGGTTACAATACATTATTGATTTGTTAACACAAAGCTTTAGACGCAACCATAACTGTTTTCATTGTAGCTCACAATGTAACACTTGCATATTTGAATAAATAATTATTTTGTATAAATTGATACAGGCACCACAACAAGTACGTGGACACCACGATGTCCCAAATCATTCAGATAAGAGTCAAGATCTATTTCTCAGATAGTATGGGTATGTTGAAAGGATGAATGTCAATAGCAGAACTTCCTTCCACTCAGCATGATATTGATGTCTCTAGTCTACTATTATTTTACCATCTCAACTGTTGCCATCCCGTTTGTTATAAAACAATACATTTGGTAGCAGAAACTTAAAAAGATGTATTTTCTCAGTTTTGTAATTGAACAAGATAATAAATCCATATTTTTATGTTAATATTTATGTTACATTTATTTATCATTAGTCTTTCATGTTAATATTCTGTGCTTGATTTTTAGACCAGACTGCAGCTTTACTATCTGAACTTTGCCATATTGAAGCAAAGAAAGGGAGAGCACTAACTGTACCAACTTCATTAAATTCTAGACAGGAGGAGGTTAGCCATATTTAGTTTTACAAAGCTGGTTTACCTGGACAAAAAGTTTTGATCGAATGTGAGTCTGCTGAATATACCTTTAAATGCTATTAAAAACAATGAGTTTTTAAAAAAGTAAATCAAACTTCAAATATCCTTTCAGATTTTGAAATTTATTTTGACCATTCCTCGGGTCACTGTCCCACAAGCGCTAAATCTAGTCCACCATTACCACAGCATTGCTGAGTTGATATCCAGGTAAAGTAGGATCTTTTCTTTATCGTATTGTTTCTTTGGAGATTAAATTATTTCATTACTCCTTTGAACTGAATTATTTCATTACTCCTTTCAACTCAACTGAATTATTTCATTATTGAATTATTTCATTATTCCTTTCAACTGAATTATTTCATTGTTGAATTATTTAATTATTCCTTTCAACTGAAGCATAGCCAAAATGCATCACTTTGTCTCATATTCCCAGGAACGTTAAAATGAAATAGCTTGAAGATTAATCAACCAAATCTGATGCATTTTATTCAACAGCTCGCCAGGAGCTATCCAAGAAAGGGGAAGGATGACTGCAGAGTCTGCTCAAAGTGTCCACCAGTTTTTACATCATGAGTTTGATCTCCAGATGATGCCCGACTCAAAATAATTTGCTCTCTTCTTCTGTCTGCTTTTAATGGGGAGGTGCCGCTGGGAGGTAAAGATGCCGCGAGGTGTTCTGAGACCTGGAGGTAAAGATGCCACGAGGTGTTCTGAGACCTGGAGGTAAAGATGCCACGAGGTGTTCTGAGACCTGGAGGTAAAGATGCCACGAGGTGTTCTGAGATCTGGAGGTAAAGATGCCACGAGGTGTTCTGAGACCTGCTGGAGGCTCATGTTGTTAATTTTTAGGGTGTCCCTAACAGTCAATCGACCGGCAGGGTGGTCTTCCTCTGGCTGTGAAAACCGGAGTGCCTGCTATTGTGAGCTTTCAGTGCAGGTTGGTCGACAGGCATTCTGACCAGGTGGACAAACCAATTAATTTGTTGTTGGGCCATATACTGGCTGACTGTCAACGATTTGTTCTCATGTATTATAAGAATGTGATATGTACAACAACAAAACTTACCACAGGTCTTTCAGGTTATGATTTCAGGTCAGAAATGATAAAATGGCGTGTTTATTAAATTATTCACTCTTGCATGTATAAAGAAATTATATGTTTCTGCTCTGCTAATTTATTATTGACTGACATTTACAGTTATAACGCATTGGGTCTGAACCATTTTCAAATTAATCTTACCTTTTGTAAATTGGTAAAGTGACATTTTGTATATAATGTAAGAAGCGTCACGGTCTCAGTGTTAGCTTCATATAACTGTTCAGTGCCACTGATTCATCAGAGTGGCTGCCTTATGTAAAAAAAACATATGTTGTCAATTAAATATGTTCAATCTGTATGAAGTCATTTTTCTGTGTACTTACTGGAACGTTTAGGTTGGACAGCCAAACATATAATAACTACTTCAATTTAACTGATCTTCAAGAGAGCTCTAACATCACACAAACCGTACACACCCACACAAACATACAAACACACACACAAAGTTAATGAATTGGCTTAATTTATTGATTTCAAACTGCATTAAGTAACATTAAAACTGAGTGAGGCTACAAAGAGAGGATGAATGAATGGTATGCCAGGTAACATGAATAAAAGGCTTATCATGGAATGTACATCTCAATAAGCACAGCCATCTAAAAATAGTAGCAGAGACTACAAGAACAAGAGGTTTCAGATTACATTATTTTTAAAAAGTGAAAAGTTCAATTCTCAGCTTCTCCCCATTCAGTACAGCAGGCACACAGGACAACTTCAAAATTATTCAATGATGAACAGCTTAATCATGAAATGATCAAAGAATCCACTGCTGTTAGATATATATATATATACATATATATATTTCTTTAAATGGGTCTTTTAGGCTATAAGAGGAATGGAATGGATGATTTCTCTCTTTCCTTGTAATTTAATAAAAGCAATTGAATGCCTTCTATATCCTGCAATGTGAAATCAAATTCTGGCCCTCAAATGTCAAACCTGATAAGCTCTTGGCTGTTAAGTAACATTAGTCACATACTAACAATGATTAAAAACATAGAAATGATAGTCACTAAAAAGATATTCTTAAACTTGTAAATATTGCTTAGCTGCAATACATTGTTTAAAAAAACAACAACACAAGTTGTAAGTGGCATTAACACTATTAAAATATATTTTTCTCAACATTTGTCAATAAGAATGCAAAATTCTTTCTTTAAAATTTATTAAACGGGGAGTGTTTTGCTTAAATAAACCCATGCTATAAATGGTAATATCAAACTTTACCTCTCTAAAGCTAAAAATCTAAAACTAATATTATCCTAAAAATGTAACAATTATTTCACATGATTCAAGTCATTAAAGTCCTTAATCACTCTCCCTGACATCATTTTAATCTAATTAATATAGTGGACCAGATTAATTTGGAATTAAACTCATTTAAATTTCTTCACTTCAAGCGAGATAACAAAAAAAAGATTTTTTTTTAAACAGAAAAAGCAAACTTAAAAAGTTGAAAATTGGAATTTATTTAGTAAAAACAATCTTGTAGAAAAAAATAATTAAGGACAGTCCTAGTTTAAAGCCATAAAGCCATGAGACAAACCAGTAGATGATGTGAGAAAAATCTGCAATGTCAGTCAGTAACTAATCACTTTGATGACCATCATTAAAAATTGCGATAAATATTTATAAAATATAATTTAAATTAAGGATTGCCCATGTTTTTGAGTGTCCTGCTTCTTTAGCTTAGAGCTGAATTTTATTCTCAAAAATGATCATGTGAATGTGCTTCCAGAGGTACCATTGTCACATTAGCTATCAATAAACACAAACAAAATTTAAACTAAATATTTACATTATAATAGAGAAAGAAAATCAAGTGCTGCCATTTGATTCTTGTTTAGGTTGCTACCACACTGTAGTTTAAGAACTCATAAGCCATCAACAATACTATTAAAATAGCCCGGAAGTGTACACGTTTGTACCAGTGATAAAAATGTTTGACGTAATGCACACTTGCATGGCGCAATGCCGTCTAGGATCGAGTCAAACTATTTGAGAATTACAGCTTTTCATGGCCATCTAAAAAACAGTCAAAAAGGTAACAAAAGAGTGCATTTTTAAACAGTACTTAATCAATACAAACTTTGACATAATTGGATTTCTTCTTTGTATTTTATTCAAAGGAATCACAGTATTCACAGATACATTGTATATCGTGCGTAATTTCTCTAACCTAAAAACATTACCGTTAAAAAATGTGAATTTGGATAATTGAAGTGAAAAGAGTCTGTTCAGTTGGTTACTTGATACAAATAATTAAAAAAACAACTTTAGAATATTAAAAAATTGCGGGTTGGTAAATTTGGAATAATTCAGATTATTTTGGATAACCAATGATATATTCTTTCTTGATTTCAACTGATTTCTGGCAGACGTCCTACTGAAAGAAGTAGAGTGCTAGAGATCAGCATTGAATCAATGAGTGAGGGTAATTGCGCAGGCACAGTATATCAAAATTTAACATTATCCACTTGATAACTATACATTACAAATTTATTGCTTTTTTACACCATACATTTATGACAAATCAATAATAGTAAAATATCTTGTGAATTATGTTTTTTTTTCCTGATTTTTAATCATAAAATATACATGAATATACAATAACAAGCCATAACAATTTTTCCAAAAACATGTGTCACCCAAATATAAGTTTATTGATTTTTTCCCCCTGGATCATTTAACTATTTATTGATTGACTCTTTACAAAATTAGGAAACGTGGAAGTTCTGAAGAAAATGAAATTTTTCCCTGCTATCACTGATAGCACAGTTAAATATTTTAAGAATGTAACAATACAGTCTGTTTATAAATGTTTGAAAAGATGTTACTTTTTCATTAGATTTGACAAGTGCCTATTTCCAGCCGTGTATCAAGATTATGCCCTTTTATCACAACTTGTATAAAAGGCATCACACCTAGTGTACACATCCTTTTGGTAGATATATCAGTTTAAAATAATAATAAATCCAAAAATAATATTATGCTCTCAAAAGATTTACAGCAAATAATAAAGTCCTTACTTTAGAATAAAACACATTTTCTAAAAACTAAAAATTAAGACAAATTTAAGTCATTCAGGTAAACAAAACAAAAGAATGGAGCACAAAACATGTACTTATATCTTAATTTTCAAAGCAGGCTCAAGTGGCTGGCAATTAGGTTGATGGGATCCAGTCAAGCCTTGTAGGCTGAGGTACTTTTATTTAAAGATGGATTCAGGTGCATGCATCAGTTTGAGAATCATTTCTCACAATCCTCTTAGTTGACATTTCATTTCCTAAGTCACTAATAAATAATTATCAATTCTCAAACCATATGAAAAAACTTTGTCATAACTTGTTCAAAACTGATACTAATTCTAACAATTAACTTTTTGCAGAAATGCTCTTAGAATTTTAAATTGGATTCTAACAAAAATTTCCATACAAAGCAGTTTTTCAAAAAATCATTACTATTTGAAATGTCTCAAAATTGTTTATTTTAAAAAAAATGACTATCAAATGATAGCCCAAGCTGCTTGAAAATGTTAAATATTTTATTTCTTAAAATTGATTAGATTATGATATATTGTTTCCCAACTTATTGACATTTAACAATAATAATAGCAAATCCATGACACCTTTGTTAAAATTTCTCTATTGTAGATAATGAGAGAACATCTCATGACTCATAATAAACAAAACAAGGAGACATAATTATTGATATAATTAAATATATTTTAAGTACCCGCTTGGCTTCTGATTTCATAACACTTTTAAAATATGTGATCAGATATTAGCAATGAAAAAAATAAAACAGGAATTATTGCCTGGAGTTATTGGTGGCGGCTTTTTCAATACATTTTTTAAAACAATCTTTCAAAGTATAAGCAATAAATCCATTTTAAAGAAATAAAAGAAAATACAAGAAATGTTTAATTCTACTATGAATCACTACTTCTGTCTCCAACTCATACTCACCAAACATATATTTAGATATATAATATGGACAATTTTAATGACATAGTTTATGGCACTATTTCTATCATTCTTGTTAAATAAAACAAAGTAACAAAAACATTTTATTGCAAATGTAATGTAATAAAGCACTAAGGTAATAATAAATCAATTCACTTCTAAAAAAAATGTGTTTAGCTCAACAATCATTTAAAGAACTGAAAAATGAAAAGTCCAAATAAGAAAATTGCGTAAGCAGGCTGTACAATTTCTTGTCACACACAGTATGGGCAGTATTAAGCATGCAATAACTAGGATGCTGGGCTAGGTGGCAAAAATAATCAGTTATGACATTGTGTAAGGTCTAGGAACACTTAAATTGATTTTTTCATTTCTGACCAAACATTATGTGAATTATTCTAAAACCGAATAGCAAAAAAAAAAAAACAGCTTTGAGGATGACTACAAACGTATATAATTTGCACACAAAGGAGAATTTTTATTTGGTTATGATTGTACATGTTTTATTTTGTTGGCAGTTAATGCTATTAGCATAGAATACTTCACATTTAACTTCATCCAACTTTCTAGATATCTAATCAAGCTTGATCTGCTTGAGAAAATTTTTACAAAGGACATGGGGGAAACTGCAGTCTACTTTGAAGGAATAAGCAATGTGAACAAGTGCATTTATCAAACAGCATTTTTGGTCTAAAGAGGAATGAGTTTATAGTTATCAAACATTTGTATTTCTTAAACTTACATTCAACAAATTGAAAACTTACTGTATTTTTTAGTATGTTTAGATCAATACATTTGAATTTTTAAAATAAGATTTATCATTTAGTTTTACCTCCAAAGAAGCAGAGTAAAGAATATAGAATGTCCCCTTTTAACAACAACCTTGAAGAAACTATGCTGCCAGATAATAAAAAATAAATTAACTTAACCAAATCATCAAATACATTATAGAATACAAAACATAAATATTGAACCACACTTAAAGTCAACAGCTCACAATGAGTAGCATGTAAGATATGATACAGTGATTGAAGCCCTGGTTATGAAATAATAGTAAGTAAAATGGCACTGCAATAACATATATTTTACATTATATACACAACAAACTTTAAGTGTTTGAAAGGAAATGTGTGGTAACCAGAGTTAAGGTACTTGATGATTCATTACAATTAAAGTGTGTGGCAGGTATCGATTTTAAGCCTTCTTTTTGGAAACTATTACATAAAAAAAGTAAATTTGAATGTTAGCATGCAAGTTGAATCTAGCAGCTTTGTGAAAAGTTATTAACATGCACATTGTTAAGGCCTCAAATGATGTTTGAGTAATATGAAAAATAATATTTAAAAAAAAGCAATCATATAATTTTCTAAATAACACACAAATAAAAGTGACAAAAATCTATGGCACACAATGCAAGTGACAGACAAAAGAAATTAATAATTAAAAAAAAAAAAAAGTATGGCACTAATGTTTCATCAGTAAGGTTAGAAACAACAGACATTTGTATATTTGTTAACCTACATAAATAATGTACATGAAGGTGACAAAAGTCTTGAATTATTTTAGCGTTATTTTATTTATTTTGGCACCATTTATCAGAGAAATACCAGTAATCAGCAGTCAATAGCAGCATGAAAAGTTGAGCCATCTACTTTGTGAAATGTTTGGATATGTTATTTTAAGTTTGCCTGGATATATAAAAAAAATTTTAAACTCTAAACCATATAAGACATTTTTCATGAGGTTTTCTCATTATTTTGTCAATATTTTGTCAAGAAATAATATCATCTTTATTGAAAAGCATTTATTTAAAAAAAAAAAAAAAAAACAACTTTTCCTCTGAATATCATAAAGATTTTTGGGATGTGAAAAAATTGAAATTTTATTTATAAAAAATATAAACAAAATTTTTGTGAAATGTTTTGATATTTTATTTTAAGTTTGCCTGGATATATAAAAAAAATTTTAAACTCTAAACCATATAAGACATTTTTCATGAGGTTTTCTTATTATTTTGTCAATATTTTGTAAAGAAATAATATCATCTTTATTGAAAAGCATTTATTTAAAAAAAAAAAAAAAAACAACTTTTCCTCTGAATATCATAAAGATTTTTGGGATGTGAAAAAATTGAAATTTTATTTATAAAAAATATAAACAAAATTTAAAAAACAGTATTTTATTCAATTAGTGTCCCTTTCAAAGTTGCTGCATTTATAAGATTTAAGAATAAATTTAGAGGTAAAGCATATTTGACATTAAAGTTTTTTAAATGATTGAAAATAAAGTAAATAACACATTTTAGTAAGAATGTTCTCTTTAAAAGATATCACAAATTCATCCCCAACAACAATATATACTTATAAAAATCTGAAATTTTCCACCATAGCACAGAGCCAATGGAAGTGTAACAAAAATGTATCACTATTAATACATATACATAGACTTTCTTTTGAACTTGTACAATTTTTTACGTGTGAATACTTAAAAGTTAATGTTCTTAATTATCTTTTTACATTTTCTGGATAAACTTACATTGTGAACTTCTAACCAAATCTGTTATTTCACCATCACAGTATTCATAATGAATGTTAAAAGAAATGTTTTACATTGCAATGTTCACAAGAAGCTGAATAATATTTGTTTCATACAAAACTCAGGGATGATAATGCGTGTAAAAATTTAAAGTTGGCACGCATATAGTTTACGATGCCTTATTTAAATTTCTTTACTCTCGTCTACAAAGTAAGTTTTGAACACCAACAGTCTGTTTACTTTCCTGAAAAATTCCAATAGTTGCAGTTTTTTGTTTCTTACAAATAAATACTTATTACTTAATTGCTTCTTATAAGAGAAATTCAACTGCAGCTCAGCCAACAGCATCTTTGAAACACAGAAAATATTAGCCCTAGAATGGTGTGTTTTCTGTTCCGACTGCTTCCAGAGGTTTCGGTTTATTTCCTTTGTTATTCATGATCTCAGCAGGGAGGGACATTTTCTTCATCAAGTTATTGTACCACACTGTCATCAATCTTACTTGTGGCATGATACTCAACAGCTTATGCAAACGAGTCGAATCCGACTTTGCTGAAATCAGGAAGGTATAGTTTAAAAAACCAACAGAGAAATTAATAGAAGTAAATTTAAAAAATCCCTCTGTAAATAAATCTATCCAGGCTTTAATTTTATTTTGAAAATATAATGGCTGAAGAGTAACTTAATATGAAAATTTATAAGAAAAATAACATCAGTTCATTATATGCCTAATCATTAATGTCTTTGTCTTATCCGAGTAAAAAAAATTGTTTTGTCATTAAGTGAGGTTAATAAAAAAAGCAGTTTTTCCTAATAGAGGAAAAGGTAATATTTATTAAGTATAATGCAGTATTTTTTACCAGATAAATGGGCTTCCAGTGCATCGAGAAGGGCATCTCGTACAATACATACAACTCCTGGCTTGACCAATCCTGGACAATCTGTTAGAATTTCAACAATATATATTGTAGCTTTTCTTTTTGAGCAATTATTTTTAATACAACAAGTGAAAAAAAATGGGGGGGTTAAACTTCTTGATTTTGGTCCAAAAAAATAATCTAAAATTCAGATTTCCTTTACTCCCTTTAGATATGGCACAACATTCAAATTGTTTGATAACACTGCACACTAATCAAGTCTAGACATATGTATTTTAATACTGCAGTACTGAGTACATATTCTTTTGCACACCTCCTGTGTGGCTGTAGTAGAAAAGTAGTTGATAAACAATTTTAATGTGCCAAATTAGATGTAACAATGTCTTTGCATGAGAGTAACTTGCCCTGTCTTCAACATGTGTAGCAAATATCATATTAGTCAAGTGTCTGCTCATAGATTAGAAGAAAATAACAACAACTAAAAAAATGTACTAACCTATGCTAGTCATGCTTATGGCACACAGCATGGATGCCTCTGTCTTGTCCACTTGAATCTCATGGATTCGATCACCAAGTGAGAGCAGATGGACCTTGTATGAAAACAGAGGATTTTGCATGGGCATGGTCCAGTTCCAGATGTACTTGAAACGTTTGTATTCTGGGTCATAGAACTCAGTACATGCGATGAGAACCATTAAACCAAAGCCCACATGCTTGCCCAGTGAGATTCTGTCTTGGATATCCAATTTAAAGTACCCTGAAGTTAAAGAAAGATTCCAAAAGATCATATTCTATTTTCCTTCAATAGCTGAGAGGAAGCACACAAAAAGGTAAGGCAATTATTGATTTAGAATTTTTTTTTTTTAATTACCCATCAGTATTCCTTTTTAAATATTCAAAACCCATTTTTGCAATACAGTGTAACTTTTAATGCTGTCCCATAAACAGAAAATAATTGTCAAAGAATATTTTTTTTAAAGATGTGAATGAAATAAATTTATAGTTTATTGTGGAATATGAGGGGGAAACTATTAACACTGCTTGAACCAATTTTCCTCCAATAAAATGGAAAAAGAATATTTGATTGTTCCATTGAAAGTTCTGCTTAACTGTAACATAATTGAAAGAGTACCTGGAATATTTCTGCAGAATCTCTGCCCAGCCACCACATGTCTTGCTATTCTTCTCTGTATGTGATGCCAGTGTTCAAGCTGATCATGGGGCATTTTTTTCTGGAGGATTAAAAAAAAATAGAATTAGAATGTTTTCTTTAAATCTAAATATTTAAAGCTAAATCAGAATCAATTGATCTGTGATTTCAGCCATTTTATCCAAATATTTTTTCTGTTGCAAAACAAAGCATTACTGTAAATTGTATGAATTGTTCTTGCCAGATAAGTCTGTTATTTCATAAAGCAAAACTTTAAAGCATTAACTTTATATATTATTTTTTAAAAATTAGAAAATGTAAAATTAAGGAGCTGTGTTATTTCAAGCACATGATTTTTTTGGTGATGCTCTAATCGATTTTCTATTTATCTAGGACACATGTGTCAAACTCAAGGCCCGCGGGCGACATCCGGCCACCATACAATCATATCAGGCCCACCAGGTCTTGAACGGCGTACACTTATATCCAAATCAACGCTATGGTGTTTTCCAATGCACACTTTGTTGAAAGACTATTGGCGCTAATCGTGCTGGAGTGTAATGGGACACTAAAGGCAAAGTACGACATAGTTGGGCCTACACAGTTCACTCGTTTCATCCCAAGCTTTGTCTTCATGCGGCTCGAACCTTGAGCATGTTGGGTAGCACATATCTGCGTGAGCAGCTGTTTTCTGTGATGAAGATTAGCAAAACATCACACAGAAGTCTTCTCACTGATGAACACTTGCAGTTCATCATGAGAATCTCAATGACACAGAACGTTACTCCCAAAATAAATGAACTTGTTTTCGCAAGAAAATGTGCCAAACATCCAGCTCTTAAAAATTGGCTTAAGAGCGAAAATGAGTATGCCAATGATTTTTAATTATTAAAACTTTTTCCTGTTTTCATTTATATAAATGTTTAAAAAAAAAAGATTAATTTTCCGCTTATTGAATGTTTATCCTGTTCGGCCCGCAACGTTACATGTGATATGAGTTTTGGCGATTGATTTCGACACCCCTGATATAGGAGACATTAAAATGCCAAGTTTTGCGAATGACTGGTCTTACAAATTTTAACGTCATTGAATAAAAGTTTTAATATCAAGTAGGGATACACACTTATGACGTCATATAGGTAAATAAAACACACCAAGTTATTTTTTTAAAAAATCAGTTAAATATAATTAATTATTTGTGATGGATCAACCACAATATTTCTGTAATAATAAAAAAAAAAAAATCAACAAAGTTTGCATAATCAGTAAAAAAAAATGCATCAAAGTTCAAGTTCAACATATAAATTAAATTATTTTTTGGTTGTCCATAAACTTTGCAATTACTGCCATTTTTAGTCCATGGAAAAAAAAAGTTCAGGATCTCTTCACAAGCAGAACAATGTGTATTCAATGTTTATTTCAGTTTTTATATTCTATTCCATTAATGTGACAGACTTTTAAAATAATGGTTCATTAATGTGACAGCTTTTATAATAATGGTTCCCTAATGTGACAGCCCTTTATAATAATGGTTCATTAATGTGAAAGCTTTCATAATAGTGGTTCATTAATGTGACAGCTTTTATAATAATTGTTCGTTTATATGACAGCTTTCATAATATTGGTCCATTTATGTGGCAGACTTTCATAATAATGGTTCATTATGTGACAGCGTTCATAATAATGGTTCATTAATGTGACAGCTTTCATTATAATGGTTCATTATGTGACAGCGTTCATAATAATGGTTCATTAATGTGACAGCTTTCATAATAATGGTTCAATAGTGTGACAGACTTTTATAATAATGGTTCATTAATGTGACAGCTTTTATAATAATTGTTAGTTAATATGACAGCTTTCATAATATTGGTCCATTTATGTGGCAGACTTTCATAATAATGGTTCATTATGTGACAGCGTTCATAATAATGGTTCATTAATGTGACAGCTTTCATAATAATGGTTCATTATGTGACAGCGTTCATAATAATGGTTCATTAATGTGGCAGACTTTTATAATAATGGTTCATTAATGTGACAGACTTTTATAATAATGGTCCATTAATGTGACAGCTTTCGTAATAATGGTTCATTAATGCACAGGGTAGGAAAAGGGAGAGACTAAGGTTGCCATGCCAGGTTTCACCTCAGTCTCTTTGGAAGCTATTACATTGGGTAGCCACACCACTCCAAGCTTATAAATAGGATGAATGGGAGGGGGGGGGGGCAATGATACTGATGGACCATAGAGTGTCTAAGCTCAGAGTCAACACATGAAATAGTTGAGTAGCCAATCAACACCGTGGCAGTGATATCCTTGATTGGCCGTGCAGTGATGTCTAATACACATGGTACAGTGATTGAAATAACCACTAGGGCTTATGGAGCACAATTTCAGATAGCTGTTTTCCATGTCATTTGATTTTAGAGCAGCGGTTCTCAACCTGTGGGTCGTGACCCCTTTGGGGGTCGAATGACTCTTCTTATACAGAGGTCGCTTAAGACATTTTGAAAACACATATTTATGACGTAGAAACGAAAACAATTTTATAGTTGGGGATCCCCGCAACATGAGGAAATGTATTGAAGGGATGTGACATTAGAAAGGTTGAGATCCACTTTTTTAGAGAGTTAAATTATTGAGAAAGAAGGTGAAAAAAAAAAAAAGGTAAATAAAAAATTGAAACTTCATCACAAAGGAATTTAAAGGAAAGAAATTTAACATTTATATTATGTATAAATATAAATAAAGCTTTGACTTACATTGACATATTCTGGCTCATTCATAACATAAGTCTTCTGAAGATTGTCAAAAGCATCTAAAACATCTTGAATTATCTTTTGCCTCTCTGGCACCATGGATATGAAGTGATTAGAAGGGTGAAAGCTGTGCCAGTATCTGTGAGAGATCTCTGGAGAAAATTCATCAGGTGAAAAATACGAGGTGAGCGCCCTGTCATCTATTCGGTTGTTGTCGCTGTTGTTTTGATGACTGCAGCCATATGTATCACATGAGTTGTCAATGCCTAGAAATATCCTGTTGATCTCATGAAGCAGGGTGGAGTCCCTAATTATGCTACTGTTAAAGCTATCATCGTATGGATCCTGATGGGCGGTTTGACCATTTTGGTCTGTGTGGTTCTGATGAAAGGACATGTAGTGGCCATTATTGTTATTCGTGTAAGCTCCCTGTAGGTCCTGCCTTTCATTGTTGCTAGAATCAGAGCCAGGCGAGGCCTGGTTCTGATACTGTCGGCCTAATCCCCTCGCCATTGTCTGGTTTATGGGACTGGTACTCGTGTACTGACCATTGTTGTTTTGATAGGGGCTTTTGTTAAGGTAGTGCCTGCCCTCATTATGCCTGCTATACTGACCTGCCTCATCGATCTGCTGCCCATCGCTGACCCCATAATTGTGCGCAGACTGTCTCCTCAGATCAATACCATCCTGTTCTAGAACTTCTCGTTGATTTCTGGCAACCGATAACTCGTTGTTTAGAAACCTCTGGTTGCCTCTGGCCTGCTCAGCATTGACGGTATTCAAAAGCTCCTCTATTTCTTCAGAAGTCAACTGTACAGGTCTCCCCGCCTGTATGTCTTCTCTGTGCTGTTGGAGAATGGCAGCAATAGGACTGCGCACGCGCTGAACTTTGTGTTGAGAGTTGTTGGCCATGAGGGACAAATTAAGCTGAGATGGAGAGGAGGCTTCAGAATGCTGGCCTTTAGAGGATAAAACAGTGTAGCTGGATTCATTTGTATCACGAACAAGTCTTGGTCTGGGGGAGCCAGACAACTGGGGTGAGGTATCACTAGGTCCCTGTGATGCAGTGGAATTGTTTTCGGGCACATACATCTGTGTTTGAATACCATTCATGTCACTGTAGATGACATTCCGGGTCATCAAATTGTGATATCCATGACTTGAAGCGGCCATCAAATTATGGTGGTTAGTTCTACTTATACCTTGGTTTGCCAAGACTTGGTGGTTCTCATTCAGGTCTATATCCTGTTGGCTGTGACCCATTTCCTGATTTGACTGTGCTTGGTCGATGCCCTGCTCCATACGCTCGTGGCTCAGAGCCATCTGTTGGGTATGAATCAAATCAGACTGATGTGCTTGATTCATACTGTGAATGATTATCAATTCTTGTCCCTGAGGTGCGTAGATGTTTTGAGCTGACATGTTAAGTGCAACAAGCTGAGAATTCATGTTCGGCGCCATCTGAGAAATAGAAGACGCAGTTCCCGTCGGGACTGATGCAGCCCTGGGTTCAGCCATGGTGTACACTGAATTACTGTCCACACCATGAAGCTGGTATGAGTGAAATTCGGATTTATGGATTGCCTGAAGATTTTGCATGTCTTCGAGTACGGCATTTTCATTGAATGCACCCTCAGCACCTTCGTGAAGTTGGACATTTTCAACCTTGATGACCCTGTTGTCTGGAAGACCATGGTCACCGGAGAAATCAATGCTGGGGATGACCTGAAGGCCTTCAGGATTTTGGCTGTGCTCCTGGAATGATCCCAGGGACTGATGATGATGCATGTCTCGGGGCAGCTGGTCAATGTCCTCCAGGTGTTGATGAGGCTGAAGCTGAAGTTGGTGATGTTGTTGGTGGTGAATTCGTTGAGTTTGACGCTGATGTAATCCAACCATATCCGGATGCATAGTCGGGCTTGCATGCCTCATGTGTGGACTGACTTGCCTTCCATCTTCTGGAAGATGGTCTGAAAGGTCGACAACTCCACTGACAGATGAGGGTGTCATGGCCACAGAGTGAGATGAAGGTCTGTGAGAGGTCTGATCTAGCTCAGTTATCTCCACCTTCTGGTCCCAATCCTGAACCGTCATGCAGTCGTGCAGGATGCTCCCCAAGCTAAAGCCGCCTTGTTGCGGCTGAGGCTGTTGATGCAATTGAGAGTTCATTTGCTGATGTCCAGGATGTACATGTTGGGGTGCCATGTGCTCAAACACATCTCCAGAAGTTGACAGATCATCCTGATCATATTCACTGGACATGGATGACCTGTTGGAACCAATCAGCTGCTTGTCATATGGCTTCATCTGCTGCTTGTGACCATTTTTCTTCATGGGTTTTCTGTAACTCAGCTCCCCCTTTTTGGGTCGACCCATCTTTATGGCTGTGAATTTAAAATGTTAAATAATGATTGTACAGGAATTAATTTTAAAGCATGAAATAAGTTTAATTTTTATTATGCATCGATTCTCCACACATCGAAGAACCGTTAAAAAATATATTATAAACCAGGGGGTTCTTAACCTTTTTGTAGCCCCACACCCCCTCTCGATTTCAAAATTTACCCCATATCCATCTCGATACCAAAACATATTTCCTGCACCCCAAGGTAGAAAATAACGTACACATATGCAAATAATTTTAAAAATCCAATTTTCGGGGTCTTCCCCCAGCCCACAACACTGCCTTTTGTACCCACAGGGTGTTTGGGCATCCCTGTTTAAGAACCCCTGTTATAAATTCACCAAGTAGACATTTTTTAAAAAAGTTGACATCAGTTGAAAGCTACAATAACAAAGGGACAAGCAATATAGAATAGTTTGGCTTTCTCTTCACCAAAGAGCTTTCCCCCATCCCCTAGATAACAGTTCCCAAATCAAAATATTCAAATCCATTTTTTTTTTTTTTTTAAAGATATGAGTCACGTGAAAAATTAAGGGTGGGGCTTAAACAACACAGCATTCTGAGCGTCCCCTCCTCCACCCCCCCCCCACAAATATGACCACACTTAAATGTTAACTTACTTTTTTATTTTTATCCATAAAAGGGAGGTAAATATCATTTGTGTTAGCCTCATAAAAAAAAAAAACAACTCAAAACACTTTTGATTCGCATTTTTAATATTAATTTCGACACAGGCCGATAATTAATAATCGGGTCGTAACAATACAGCAGCATCCATAACGGTTCTTGGTAGCATATACACACTTATATACACACACATAAATATACCTATACATACATATATAAATTCATATGTATATCCTATATATATATATATATATAATGTAAATTTAACTTACACTAATAAATATAGAAAAGGTTGGGAAACAAAAAGTGGGGTTCAGTGCCATTGGCGGACCCTGTGTCGGTGTCGGTACCCTATGACTGTAGTGGCTGCGTCGGGTTTCAATGTCAAAATACTAGACCTTTATAACATTTTAAACGTGTGTCTCTTCTCGGTTTAAGGCGTAATAAAACTACACGGACTGTCACTTTTTTCCCACTTCTTTTCCCCCCTTTATCAATTTTGGGGGTATATTGCGAAGAAGGGCGTATTTTCCCTGTCTTCAATGAGAATGACTATTTGTACAGCGTGGGGAGAATCGACAGATGTTTGCTATTGATCCGGCAATGCCCCCTAGCTAAAAACCGCTGATAAAACACAAGACCCGCCAAGATAAGATGATAGAATGACAAGACTCGTTCTTCTGTCAATTCATTTCTTATTCTTTGTTGTAGGTTTCATTAAAAAAAAAGTAATTTCTTTAAAATAAAAAATAAATAAATAAAAATAAAAAAGCAAAACAACAACAACAACAAAAAAAAACAACAAAAAAAAACAAACAGATATATTCGTAGTGCAACCATTCTATTTATAATTTATTTAAAAAAAAATGAATCCAGCTTTTCCGTAGGGAAGACACCCCAAATTGTCAGACTGACCTTTAACAACTATCCTTAAAAATAAAACTGTGCATTAGCTATTGTAAATTCAAGGGAATTTCACGAGGAGGGGGGGGGGGGGTCCACTGTTCCTGCATGAATATGATACAGTTTGTCTGTGGTTGCATACACGTGCGTGTCTGTGGTTGCACACACGTGCGTGTCTGTGGTTGCATACATGTGTTTGTCTGTGGTTGCATATTGCATACATGTGTATGTCTGTTGTTGCCAACCTTTGTTTGTCTGTGGTTGCATATTGCATACATGTGTATGTCTGTTGTTGCCAACCTTTGTTTGTCTGTGGTTGCATATTGCATACATGTGTATGTCTGTTGTTGCCAACCTTGTTTGTCTGTGGTTGCATATTGCATACATGTGTATGTCTGTTGTTGCCAACCTTTGTTTGTCTGTGGTTGCATATTGCATACATGTGTATGTCTGTTGTTGCCAAACTTTTTTTGTCTGTGGTTGCATATTGCATACATGTGTATGTCTGTTGTTGCCAACCTTTGTTTGTCTGTGGTTGCACACGTGTGCATGTCTGCGACTACCGTGTACATTGGCCACAGTCTGATTTGAGGACCCCCATATCATGTTGGAGCTGCTAACGCGTTTAGGTCCCGGGTCTTAGGTAAAGCGCAAAATTAAGCCGGGGGATATTAAATCTAGAGGGCAGGCGAAATGTGTATGGTCTTTGTAAACCGTCTAGCGTTGTGGATTAGGGATAGTTAAGATAAGGTGTTACAAAAATAAAGTTAGCTTTAAGGGTCGAGAGTTGGCATTCCCAATAGAGAGTAGACATTTACAATAGTGAGTAAACATTCACAATAAAAGGAGATTTGGCATTCACAATCGTTCGTATATTTTCTTGTTGAAGTTAAAATAACAAGAACGCTTGTAACAAAGAGCTGCGGTTATATTTTATGTTTCAGTTACATTGAACCTTTTCCCGTACTTGGTATTTGGATGGCCCTTGGTCAAATCTTCAGAGAAAGGGGCAGAGAAAAAAAAGATCTAACGAAATTCACCAAAGCTCAGTTTCGATCATTGTTCGTGGGGCAATAGGACAACAATAATAGAAATAAACGTCAGAATTTCTAGTTGCGACTTTGATTTTATGTTTTTTTTATTGTCCGACATTCTGTGTTAAATTGTTTCCATAGTTTTATGACGTCAGTTGACGTGTTCCGCAGCCAGTATCGCTGTTGGAAAGGAACGATAAATGGATTCTTTTCATTAATAACGATTCTTTTCATTAATAACGTTAGAGGCTATCCCAACTTTAATGTTCGTTTTCGTGAACGTATTTAGCACATCATTTCTCTGGTTTAGAAACAGAGAAAGTTTTGATTAAAATAATAATAATAATAACTTCTGTTGTTGCTTTTTTTAAAAAAGACTCACATCGCTGCTCATTGGTTTATGATTATGCAGCACTAAAGTAAAACGTACAATCTATGTTTGGTAAAAATAAAATTTAATTATTAGAATTAGAATTGATGCACCCACTGTCATGTATTCTGAGAAAGATTGCCCAACCCTTGTCCCAGATCCACTCCCTTACTCTCGCGCGACATTGACCGTCTTGACATTTAAACACCGGGCGGAAGTGACGAAGGGGATTGCCGGCAGTTGGACTTGTGAATGGTACGGAAAATGAAACAAATATTCGGCGTGGAATCCTCTTTAAGTCTAAGACATAACATAGGTGAAGCATGTTTATTATTTGGAAAAAAAATCAACTCTTTGTGCTGAATGAAGCAACCAACGCCGCCATACACGTCAACGCTAAGAGGTAATACTGTAATAGTTGAATTATACATGATGCTATGAAACTTGCCAAGGTTAACGTAACTCACAACTAAACAAAAAAAAACAAACAAACGATCTGTTACAAATATCTTTAACTTATATCCATGAAGCTCACCTTCCCTCGACATTCCCTCGTATATACACTTTTGGTAACGACAATACCGGCAGTTGTTGCGCATGCGTGGATTGATGGAACAGTGCATGTTGGCCTTACAGGTGTAAGCCTTGTTCTCCTTGAGACCACGTCGGAAGAATTTCTGTTCATCAAAGAAATGAATAACTATGTAGGCCTACACTACATTTTTAAATGAGCACACATAAGGAAATGTCTGTTTATGAAACCATACATTACCAGGTGATAAAATGGCATGGCAGTTACAAGTGGAAATAGTCCAGTTGGGAAATGACAATTTTAAGTGAAACTTATGATGCGGTTACAAAATAATTGCACCCCCCCCCCCCCCCCCCCCGGAAAAAAATGATTGAAGGTAATTTGATCGAACGGAAATTTGGTCGAATCTTTTTTTTTCTTCAGTTTTTACGTTAAAATTTTGCTTGGAATTTCTTTTTGAACGCATTATTTTGTTTTACTATGTAGTATAGTGCGTTCAAAAACAAATTTGACGAAAATTTTAACGTAAAAAGTGAAAAAAAGATTCGACCAAATTTTCGTTCGATCAAATGTCACAATGAAGAAATTTCTATATTCCATATGCAGTATTAAACGTCAATATATTTTGAGTTAGGCTGGAAAAAAAAACAAAAAAACTTCAAATAATTTTTAAAATACACACAAAAGTGAATAACGATTTAAGATAATGAAAAAAAAAATGACTTTCTAATGGTGAACTTACCTTACAACCTTCACACGTAGTGACACCAAAATGAACACCATTGGCAATATCACCGCAGACTTTGCACAACAGCTGACCCTCTGCCGGCTCAACGGCTTCAGGTTTTTCTGGGGTTAAGATACACACACAGTTGTTAGAAAACAATGTTTTGAAAGCTTTTTTTGTTTAATTAAGAATTTTTTTTTTTTAATTTACGCTATTTAAAGCAGGCGCCACAGTATGCAAAAAATCATTTTGCATGCCACACGATACAACTAAGAGGGCCGCATGTGCGCTACAGGCCGTGAGTTTAAGAACCCTTGCATATTACAAACATATTGTATTGACCCAAAATGTGATAAATTATGATTACTTTTTTACCGGTGTGTCTTTCACTTAAACTGAACACCTAAGTCAACTAATTAAACAGCTCACCTAAGTCAACTAATTAAACAGATCACCTAAGTCAACTAATTAAACAGATCACCCAAGTCAACTAATTAAACAGCTCACCCGAGTCAACTAATTAAACAGATCACCCAAGTCAACTAATTAAACAGATCACCCGAGTCAACTAATTAAACAGATCACCCAAGTCAACTAATAAAACAGATCTCCCGAGTCAACTAATTAAACAGATCACCCGAGTCAACTAATTAAACAGATCACCTAAGTCAACTAATTAAACAGATCACCCAAGTCAACTAATTAAACAGATCACCTAAGTCAACTAATTAAACAGATCACCCAAGTCAACTAATTAAACATATCACCCTAGTCAACTAATTAAACAGATCACCCAAGTCAACTAATTAAACAGATCACCCAAGTCAACTAATTAAACAGATCACCCGAGTCAACTAATTAAACAGATCACCCAAGTCAACTAATTAAACAGATCACCCAAGTCAACTAATTAAACAGATCACCCAAGTCAACTAATTAAACAGCTCACCCGAGTCAACTAATTAAACAGATCACCCGAATCAACTAATTAAACAGATCACCCAAGTCAACTAATTAAACAGATCACCCAAGTCAACTAATTAAACAGATCACCCAAGTCAACTAATTAAACAGATCACCCAAGTCAACTAATTAAACAGCTCACCCGAGTCAACTAATTAAACAGATCACCCGAATCAACTAATTAAACAGATCACCCAAGTCAACTAATTAAACAGATCACCCAAGTCAACTAATTAAACAGATCACCCAAGTCAACTAATTAAACAGATCACCCAAGTCAACTAATTAAACAGCTCACCCGAGTCAACTAATTAAACAGATCACCCAAGTCAACTAATTAAACAGATCACCCAAGTCAACTAATTAAACAGCTCACCCGAGTCAACTAATTAAACAGATCACCCGAATCAACTAATTAAACAGATCACCCAAGTCAACTAATTAAACAGCTCACCCAAGTCAACTAATTAAACAGATCACCCAAGTCAACTAATTAAACAGCTCACCCAAGTCAACTAATTAAACAGATCACCCAAGTCAACTAATTAAACAGATCACCCGAGTCAACTAATTAAACAGATCACCCGAGTCAACTAATAAAACAGATCACCCAGGTCAACTAATTAAACAGATCACCCAAGTCAACTAATTAAACAGATCCCCCAAGTCAACTAATTAACCAGCTCACCAAAGTCAACTAATTAAACAGATCACCCAAGTCAACTAATTAAACAGATCACCCAGGTCAACTAATTAACCAGCTCGCCTAAGTCAACTAATGTTAAAATATGATTTAACCAAACATTGAACTAACTGATCTTGACTATTGATCTATTTACCTTTCCTGTACATTCCAGCCGTGATACATTTCTGGAACCTGCAGTGCTGACACCTGACCCTCCCTCCCTTCAGCACGTCACATTTCCCACCACATTGGTTGCTGAAATTGGGCCGGCCATCTTTGGTGCAGCGAATGAAGAAACTCTTTGGAGGCAAAGGAAAAATTCACTAAAATTAGTTGAGTCGGCCATATTTGAAAGAATCCAAACATTTTGTGATCTGTTGGTTGTACGTTTAAAGTCTATAGCTGCATAGCACGGGGGAAAGGGGGGGGGGGGGCATTGAAATGTGCACCAATTTGTATTGTACAAGGCAACCAAGGAAGCACAAAGGAAGCAATTTATTTTAATTCATGCACTTAATTGTCGTCTTCCTGCACCACATTATTTCATACGATGTGATTATGAAAAGTGTCAAAATATGAAACTTTAACCTACTTAATTAAAACCAAGTTAAAGACTTTGAAAAAAAAAAAAGAAAATAAATTATAATTTAAAAAAAAACAAACAAAAAAAAACATTAATCTTGTGGACGTTCCAACTTACATTTCTTTTGTTGTTGTACTTGTTGTGGTAACCCAAGGCAAGTGATAGATTAAAGTATTAGTAATAAAACATTGGATTTAAATGTACCGTTCTTAAGCGGCTTGAAATAGTGGGGGGGGGGCGGCAAGAGGGGGAGACATTTGGCGGTATGGTGGGCCAAAAAGGTGCTCGCAAGCTTACATCAACGTATGAGTAAAATGTAGTTATGGGTAATGATTGAACTTTTATAGATCTCTTAGCGTTCAATAGCAGATGCACACAACTATATTTGGTTAAACAATACTTTGCAGAATCGGTAACTGAATAATCCGTCAACAGTTCAAAGATTAATTAAAATATTCTAGTCATTTAGCTGTTTACCGAATTTCATCTGCTTAACATTAGCGGATATAGATACATTTTGGGGAAAAAAATGTCGAAATGGAAAAAAAAAGAAGACCACATCCAAACTTGCTCATCATGGCTTCGACCTTAATTTCAATATTTCATGTACTGACTTCTTCACGTGAACTGATCTGACATCGAATATTCCAAAAATAGATTGGCCGTGGAAAGTCTAAATTTTCTGTTATGTATAATGTATGCCGTGACGCAACTAACAGGTTAAACACAAGATATAATCAGGTCACATTAGAGATTATCTTCACGTTGCTGGATCTTAACTTACATCTGTGTAGGTTTTAGTTAACTTACAATCGGTTGACCGAGCTATTTGATAATTCTAAGCCACCTAAATTTTAGTGTTGTTTGTGTAAGAATCAATGATCTCTTTTTCACATTGAAAACTATTGCCAAATATTACCACGAGAATGAACCTTACTGAAATTTGATAAACGAAAACGTTAATTTAGTAAAATTATTAAAGTTAACAAAAAAATTAAAAGCAAATTTTTAACAAATCTCAAAAGTATGTCAAAATTACCTATTGTAGCTTAATCTTTTAGCTTGACGTGAATATTATCTGCCGCACGATACCCCCCCCACCCCCCAAAACCAACACACATCACCAAACCCAAGCGTCCCCACCCTCGACGTGACCCGATTGATCATGTTCGAACCTTATTTGAACGGGTGACACAGACCGGATTTTTTGTGTGGATAGTTTGTTCAAACAAAGATTAGCGCGCCTTATTCACTGGACAGGCCGTCCAAGACAGGGTGAGGATGGCAAATGGACAGGCCGTCCAAGATAAGGCGAGGATGGCAAATGGACAGGCCGTCCAAGACAGGGTGAGGGTGGCAACTGGACAGGCCGTTTAAGACAGGGTGAGGATGGCAACTGGACAGGCCGTCCAAGATAAGGTGAGGATGGCAAATGGACAGGCCGTCGAAGACAGGGTGAGGGTGGCAACTGGACAGGCCGTCCAAGATAAGGTGAGGATGGCAAATTGACAGGCCGTCCAAGATAAGGTGAGGATGGCAAATGGACAGGCCGTCCAAGATAAGGTGAGGGTGGCAACTGGACAGGCCGTCCAAGACAGGGTGAGGGTGGCAACTGGACACGCCGTTTAAGACAAGGTGAGGATGGCACCCTTTTATTATTCACATTATCTAATGAAAGATAAAACATTAAGATTTGCAATATAACCACTTGTATATTTGTTGGGATACTAAACACTGAAAAAGTATGAAAAATTTTGGTTGCTGGAAATGGAATACATATATTAACTAGGAATTTCTTTTAGAATTGCTTTCAGTCGAGGTAAATATTAAATATTAATATATCTGTTAAGATAGTTATTTTTAAAATTAATTAAACATCCCTTAAAACTTTTTTCCCTATTAATCCCCCCAGGCTCGCAACCGTACATTTCTTCCTCGCCCCTGACTGAACCATGTTCATATTCTAATGGCCCACCAGCTTTACGCCGCAGATTTATTTCACCAACTATTTTATAAAAAACAAAAGAAAATATTACGCAATTGCGATATTTTGTGTAAAAAGAAAGATTCTCATTTAGCGCAGTTACCGGGACTTTTATTTTGTCTCCCCCTTGAAAGACAGGGAAAAACTTTTTTTTGGGGTTTGGGGGTGGGTTGAAAATGTGAAAGAATGCGTTGTCATCGGATTCACGTCTATCTTCCAAGTTTCAGCTCGATAGCTTGAGGAGAAGTGGGTCAATTAGTCGTTAAGATCACATCCCACCCTCTTCATCACAGATACCTAAGGTCAGCTCGATCAGGGCGATTTCTTTCTTTTAAAGTAAGAACCAAAAGATATAAACAGTATTTTTTAACCCAGTCTGTACGAATTTACCAGCATGGTCCGCCCCCCACTCCCCCACTCCCCAAAGCAGTTACTAAATCTAAATGATTACTAATTGAAGCATTATTGTCACCAAAGGGATAATTGTCGGCTGATTTCTTTACGCTAGAGAAATGCCCCTATGTCTTGTGCTTAAATTGTTTTAACTGTAAAATGTTTTGTTTAAAAAATGCATTTATTTATATGACAAATAAATGAATATGTACAACGCAATATAACAAAAATATATTTATTTGTTTCAATAAAAGCATATTATCTTTTTTTTTTTTATTTTTAATAGCTGCCCCCCCTCCCCCCCCTCCCCCCCGTTTCATTATTGCACATCACTTTAAAAACAAGGATTTAAATTTATATTTTAAAAAAAAGGAACGTAATAATTAGCTTTCTGGCAATTAGAGAAATTCTAGGGAAACATGTCAGCAAGTCGGTTCTTGTAACACATCGGGTGTGATGGCGGTCGTGGGGCTTCCTGGCTGATTGAAGGCCAAACTGGTCTGCTCTGCTTTCTGCGCGTGGCAACGGTCAAGTTTCCAGGGAGAAGCCATGCAACTCACAGAAGCGGAAAACACGGGAAGGCATCGTCTTTTATTGCATGGGCAAAGTCTGGGGGAGGAGGCAGGGGTTAGAGGGGCAACTCTTACCCACACGAAGATGTAACCGTGCCGCAGTTTTCTGTTTAAGTTTGTTCTTTAGAGAATTTCGGTCGATGGCGCAAGAATCCGAAATAATTGTATTCGCTTTTAAAGTGACGTTTGAAAGAGAGTGACAAAAAACAATTATTGCGTTTTCTTAGTTGTGTTTACGAGATGAATAATTTCAGTATGTATTTTCAGAATCTATGAGCGTATATGAAATCTTAACATTAAAATGAATGCTGAGCTCTGACAAGTTTTTTAAATTAAAAAAAAAGTATTCGTTATAGCTTCTCTTATGTCTTATATATACTTTGCTTCTGGTATGGCTGCTTCCTTTTCACAACCGCCCCCCCCCCCACTTTTTACTTAAAAGTTGTATATTAATAGCACTGAGTGAAAAAAGATGTCACGCAGCAAGCGGTATGCGTGCAGTGTTCCTTTGAGAAATTTTCCCCGGGGGGGGGCACTAGTTCCAGTTGATTTATTGTGAGACATATTTTTGCTCGGGGGGGGGCACCTGGCTTTCCCGGGGGGCACTGCCCCCCCCCCCGGAGATATAGCTGAAAGAAACCCAGTTTGCGTGACGGTTGAACTCGGGTAAAAAGAATGCATTTTTTCTGAGCGACTATCAATACAGAGCCACGGGTATGCTGTAGGACTGTCTGGAGGACTTTCTCCAGGACTGTCTGTAGGACTGTCTGTAGGCCTATTATTTAATGGCTGGCAGTTCGGGTATAGGACTGTCTGTAGGACTATTGCTTTAAGGCCTGTAGCTAGGGTGTAGGGCTATCTGTGGGCGTACTGTTTAAAGGCCGGCAGGTATGGTGTAGGACTGTCTATAGAACATTTTTTTAAAGGCTGGCATATATTATGCAAAATGAGAAGTTGAACTTTTCTGTAATACTTGGACCCACCAGGCACGGTGGTTTTTTTCATAATACCCGGACCCGGCGTAAAAGCTGCCCACGGTCAATATATAATTATATAAATTATTAAATAATTATATAAATGAGACGTTAGACGGCATTTAAAGTGCACGCCAGTTGCGGAAAACCACGGTCAGCATAGGCGCATCTATTTACGGAGACACAATCTCATGACATAGTATGTAAATGAGACTGTCATCAACCAATGGCCACCTGAGTGGTCAGCGGAGACTTCAGACGGTGGCCTCTTTGCATAAGTTAACGAACTTTCTTAAAAATCAGCTAATTGATGAACATGTCTTTTAGAATTAGCAAGCAACATTCTCCCTGTTCCACAAAAGTCAAATGTACTGGCTTAGTTAAATGACTTGCTTAATTAAATGACTTGCTTAGTTAAATGACTTGCATAATTAAATGACTTGCTAAATTAAATGACTTGCTTAATTGAATGACTTGCCTAGTTAAATGACTTGCTTAATTAAATGACTTGTTTAGTTAAATGACTTGCTTAGTTAAATGACATGCTTAGTTAAATGACTTGCTTAGTTAAATGACTTGCTTAGTTAAATGACTTGCTTAATTGAATGACTTGCTTAATTAAATGACTTGCTTAATTAAATGACTTGCTTAGTTAAATGACTTGCTTAGTTAAATGACTGGCTTTGTTAAATGACTTGCTTAGTTCAATGACTTGCTTAGTTCAATGACTTGCTTAGTTCAATGACTTGCTTAGTTAAATGACTTGCTTAGTTAAATGACTTGCTTAGTTAAATGACTTGCTCAATTAAATGACTTGCCTAGTTAAATGACTTGCTTAGTTAAATGAATTGCTTAGTTAAATGACTTGCTTAGTTAAATGACTGGCTTAGTTAAATGACTGGCTTAGTTAAATGTCTTGCTTAATTAAATGACTTACTTAGTTAAATGACTGGCTTAGTTAAATGACTGGCTTAGCTAAATGACTTGCTTAGCTAAATGACTTGCTTAGTTAAATGACTTGCCTAGTTAAATGACTTGCCTAGTTACATGACTTGCTTAGTTAAATGACTAGCTTAGGTAAGTGACTTGGTTATGTAAATAACTTGCTTAGTTAAATGACTGGCTTAGCCAAATGACTTGCTTAGTTAAATGACTTGCCTAGTTAAATGACTTGCTTAGTTAAATGACTAGCTTAGGTAAATGACTTGGTTAGGTAAATAGCTTGCTTAGTTAAATGACTTGCTTAGTTAAATGACTTGCGTAGTTAAAATGACTGGCTTAGATGAATGACCTGCTTAGTTAAATTACTAGCTTAATTAAATGACTTGTTTAGCTAAATGACTTGCTTAGTTAAATGACTTGCTTAGTAAAATGACTTGGTTAATTAAATAAATTGCTTAATTGAATGACTTGCTTAATTAAATGACTTGCTTAATTAAATGACTTGCCTAGTTAAATGACTTGCTTAATTAAATGACTTGCTTAGTTAAATGACTTGCTTAGTTAAATGACTGGATTAGTTAAATGACTTGCGTAGTTAAAATGACTGGCTTAGATGAATGACCTGCTTAGTTAAATTACTAGCTTAATTAAATGACTTGTTTAGCTAAATGACTTGCTTAGTTAAATGACTTGCTTAGCTAAATGACTTGCTTAATTAAATGACTTGCTTAATTGAATGACTTGCTTAATTAAATGACTTGCTTAATTAAATGACTTGCTTAGTTAAATGACTGGCTTAGTTAAATGACTGGCTTAGTTAAATGACTTGCTTAGTTAAATGACTTACATAGTTAAATGACTGGCTTAGTTAAATGACTGGCTTAGCTAAATGAACTTGCTTAGTTAAATAACTTGCTTAGTGAAATGAATTGCCTAGTTAAATTACTTGCTTAGTTAAATGACTTGTTTAGTTAAATGACTAGCTTAGGTAAATGACTTGGTTAGGTAAATAACTTACTTAGTGAAATAACTGGCTTAGCTAAATTACTTGCTTAGCTAAATGACTTGCTTAGTTACATGACTTGCTTGTTAAATGACTAGCTTAGGTAAATGACTTGCTTAGTTAAATGACTTGCTTAATTAAATGACTTGCTTAGTTAAATGACTTGCTTAGTTAAATGACTTGCTTAGTTAAATGACTTGCTTAGTTCAATGACTTGCTTAGTTCAATGACTTGCTTAGTTAAGTGACTTGCTTAGTTAAATGACTTGCTAAGTTGAATGACTTGCTTAATTAAATGACTTGCCTAGTTAAATGACTTGCTTAGTTAAATGAATTGCTTAGTTAAATGACTTGCTTAGTTAAATGACTAGCTTAGTTAAATGACTGGCTTAGTTAAATGTCTTGCTTAATTAAATGACTTACTTAGTTAAATGACTGGCTTAGCTAAATGACTTGCTTAGCTAAATGACTTGCTTGCTTAGTTAAATGACTTGCCTAGTTAAATGACTTGCGTAGTTAAAATGACTAGCTTAGATGAATGACCTGCTTAGTTAAATGACTAGCTTAATTAAATGACTTGTTTAGCTAAATGACTTGCTTAGTTGAATGACTTACTTAGCTATTTGAAGTCTTGCATGAAAATCAACATTGCAAATAAAAATTTGCCGATTTACGTTGTTTTTTTTTTATGTTAACTTAAAAAAATATTTTTGAATGGATTATGGAAGATTTCGTATTATCCTTGAAATACCCGTTAAATGAGTGACATATGTTGTGTTTCCGGGGAAAATAAGAGGGGGGGGGGGAATAATTTTAAAACATTTTAAAGAAGACCTCTAGATTTGTTTCGCTATCGTTGTTAGCCAGCCCCCAATTAAATTTTTAAATGAATTCGCCCCTAAGAACATGCTGTGCCAATGTTGGCGAAGGAAACAACCTAATCCTTGACTTACCTTACACGGCAAGCAAACTAATCATATTTGTTGACCTACTGACCTTACACAAGCAAACTAAACATATTTCTTGACCTACTTACCTTACAGGGCAAGCAAAGTAAACATATTCCGTGACCTACTTAATTTACACAGCAAGCAAAGTAAACATATTCCTTGACCTTCTTATTTTTACATGACAATCAAACTAAACATACTCCTTGACCTACTTACTTTACACGATAAGCAAAATAAACATATTCCTTGACCTACTTCTCTTCTTCTTTATTTTGAGGGCCCACGATCAATGAATTGATCATTCTGGCTCCTACTTACCTTACATGGCAAGAAAACAAAACCTTTTTTCCCGACCCACTTACCTTACACAGCAAGCAAATACAACATTTTCCTTGACCTACTTACTTTACAGGGCAATAAAACTAAACATATTCCTTGACCAGCTTACCTTACACGGCAAGCAAACTAAAGCTCCAAAGTAATGTCCACTCGCCTGCTCCCCGCAGACGTCACACCTCTGGGTGGCGTCCAGCTTACTCTGCTGACGCGCCGCCGCGTCATCGTTCTTTTCTTCCCTCTTCCTCTTCCATCCTTTCTTCACCGAAACTCCCTCCATCACCCTGCCAGCACCCCTGCCACCTGGACCCGTCCTCATTTCAGAACGAGGCTGTGATATCAGAACCGGAACCCCTTCATTAGCATAATCGTAATGGCCTACAATTTCCCCTTCCGGTATCGTGTTGTACGGGGTGTGAGACTGCGGTACGAAGGCGAGGGGGTTGGTGTCTAGCACTTGCTGTTCTTGGTGGTGCTGCTGTAGCTGATGCCGGTGGAGCAGGCCGGCCAGATGGTGGTGCTGTTGGTGTTGCTGGTGCTGTTGTTGCTGGTGCTGTTGTTGCTGGTGCTGTTGTTGTTGATGCTGTTGCTGATGCTGTTGTTGTTGTTGCTGTTGTTGTTGCTGGTGCTGTTGGTGTTGCTGATGCTGTGACTGGGCCGGTGACGACGATGGGGAATCGGACGCCAGCAGGTCGGGTGCCGACTCATCCAGCGGGATATCACCATAGGAGTTGGAGACAGGGTCTGGTGAGGAAACACATTGAGAAATAGAAATGAAACCACGAGTTTTTGAAGGCACAAGATTAATACAACAACCCATATTAGTGATAAGCAGTACTTGAAACGTGCCGAATTTGATCATTGCATTACCAAGCCATTAACAGTAAATTCTACTTTTTTAAAAATCCTTTATATTAACTTCGCTTTTGTTTGCGGCTGGCTGTGTGGCAAAATCTTCGGACGGCTAATTGGACCAACTTCCAACCAACATATCGAGGTGAAAATTGGCCCATAGACTTATTGCCGATGACAGCGCATTCTTTCAAATTTTCAGCCCAACCCCCCCAAATACAGTTTTTCTAAAATCGTGGTGATATTAATATCCGTTGTAAAAGCGAGTGTGTCATTAGAATATTAATATAGTTCAGTGAGGTGAAAAAAATTGTTTGATTACGAGCCTGGGGGGGGGGGGGCACTTATTGGGATTCTTATAAAATGCGTTACTTGTATGCATGTTTTGTCAAACTTTCAGCCCCCCCCACACACACATGAATATTAATATAGTTCAGTGGGGTGAAAAAAATTGTTTGATTACGAGCCTGGGGGGGGGGGGGCACTTATTGGGATTCTTATAAAATGCGTTACTTGTATGCATGTTTTGTCAAACTTTCAGCCCCCCCCACACACACACACACATTTGCTCGATATTACGTTTTATTAAGGATCTATACGAAAAGCGTTTTTTTAATGTGTTCAGTATTACAATAGGTTTACTGTATGGTTAATCGTTGGGAGGAAAAAAAATCTACGAAACATCTCTATGTATAAAAGCCCAACTACCGCTCACTGGCTCTCTACTCACACGCTCACTGGCTCTCTACTCACACACTCACTGGCTCTCTACTCACACACTCACTGGCTCTCTACTCACACACTCACTGGCTCTCTACTCACACACTCACTGGCTCTCTACTCACCACTGGCTCTCTACTCACACACTCACTGGCTCTCTACTCACACACTCACTGGCTCTCTACTCACACTCTCACTCACTCTCTACTCACACTCTCACTGGCTCTCTTTCACACACTCACTGGCTCTCTACTCACACACTCACTGCCTCTCTACTCACACACTCACTGGCTCTCTACTCATCACTGGCTCTCTACTCACACACTCACTGGCTCTCTACTCACACACTCACTGGCTCTCTACTCACACTCTCACTGGCTCTCTACTCACACTCTCACTGGCTCTCTACTCACACACTCACTGGCTCTCTACTCACACACTCACTAGCTCACTACTCACACACTCACTGATGACGAGATCTCAAAGAACAACAAGTCCCACGAAGGTGAATTTTTTTTCATGGAGTTTCCTGTTATTTTCTAAGCGTGCACTGACAATTCTTTTTAAAACAATTCAACTTTCAAGTGACCTTAAGTAACCAAAGTCCGAGACACATCTTTATTTATATATCAAAGTAATGGTTTGTTTCGTAATGCGTATTATGATTTATTTTTGTTTTTGTAAGACAGGTTTTGTGTATCTCGCTCTACATTGAACATGCGCTATTTCATTGAACATGCGCTATTTCATTGAACATGCGCTATTTCATTGAACATGCGCTATCTCATTGAACATGCGCTATTTCATTGAACATGCGCTATTTTATTGAACATGCGCTATTTCATTGAACATGCGCTATCTCATTGAACATGCGCTATTTCATTGAACATGCGCTATTTAATTTTGCGATTGTCGCACATCATACACGAATATTTTATATTTAAGCAACTTGATTATTCCAAGATGTTCGTGTAAACTACCTCTATATCATAAGTGTTTTTCTTGTTGTTGTTGTTTTGTTTTTTTTCCAAAATCCAGAAAGTTAAGAGATATACAGATATAGATACATATTTAAACATTTTTTTTTTTTAAAATTCGAAACGAACCCATCGTTACAAGTTTTTACGAAACATTTGCTTGTAAATATTTAGTGACGGATTCGAAACTAGAATTAGTGAAATCTAAAGAATGCAAAACTCATGAAGTGTTGTTTTCTCTACATACGGATAATTGCAGCATTTGCTTAACAAACAATAATATTAGCGAGTTATCCATTACTAGGGATAAGCTATCCGTTGCCAGGGATAAGCAGTGTACACTGAAGCATCTAACAGCAAGCGGCCAACTCTCAACTATCCTTAACACTGTTTGTCATTCATAAATAGACAATAACAATTAAACTACTATTAAAAAAATTAAACCTATTTATAGCTTAATTAAGTTTATAATATATATATTTTAATTACCGTATATATCGGCGTATAACACGCACTTTCTCTCTGGAAATAGGGCGCAAATCATGTGTGCGTGTTATGCGCCGATTAAATGTCAATTTTTTTTTAATCCTGAAATTTCCTTCTTAAAATCAGGTGCGTGTTATACGCCTGTGCGTGTTATACGCCTGTGCGTGTTATACGCCTGTGCGTGTTATACGCCTGTGCGTGTTATACGCCTGTGCGTGTTATACGCCTGTGCGTGTTATACGCCTATGCGTGTGATACGCCTGTGCGTGTTATACGCCTGTGCGTGTTATACGCCTG